AACAGTGTTTTTGTAACATATGAGTCAGGATTGGGAGGAACAGAACTCCTTTGGAGTGAATGGCCACAGGTAGGAAGGCATAGGCTCAGTAAGTGTAGAATTGCTCTTACAGAAAAGTAACATTGGAAGAATTTCCTGAGGGCCAGAATGATAGAAAGTGAGTCATGATGGCATCATTACCAAGCTATACTTTCTAAGCAAGAAAGACTCAGGCAAGCCTTATACTCACTACCTGTATTAAACTGTGTGCCTTTCTTCAGAAAAGAGATCATACATGCATGTTACAGAGTAAATAACTACTAGGTAGACGTTTCTTCCATCTGATCTCTATCTCAGTAGCCATTACCTGAGGGAATCATCCTGTTGGTGCTCTGTGTGACTCTACACAAACTGTTAATCAGGAGACTTCAGAGTCAAGCTAAACCAAGAACTGATTGTGTTGTCCTAGGATTCTGAGTCATGAGAGATACATAGGACAAGAAGGTAGGTAATCTTTGTCACCTGAAGCAGCCCCTAAACTAGTGTCACATGAGTCTCACTATACACATCACGTAAATACTTAATGTCTTTGCTTTCCCTATACATGACTGATCACACACCCATCCATAGCCTTCTGAACAATCAATATAACTTTTCTGATTTCTTCCTTGTTATGGTCTGGCCCTTAAGTATAGCAGAAAAACTCGTGTGAAAGTTTTTGTCCCCCAAACAGCAATGTTCAGGGTAAATGGTGTCTTGGGTAAGTCACTGGTAAGAGAATGTTCTGGATTTGTCAATGGATTAACCAATAGATGGGTGCATAGCTTAATGGATTGAGGGAGGAGAATAAAGCAAACTCTCCTTTTGCTTCCTAGCCTCAATGAGATGAGGTGAACTGTGCTTCAGTACAATAGCATCCTTCCATGACTGTACGTACAGAAAAAAGGCCAAATGACCATAGACAAAAAAGTCTGAAACCATGAGCCCAAGTAAATCTTTCCTTGTCCTGGTTGATTTTCTTGGGTACTTTTTCACAATAATAGTAAGATGACGAGAAACTTGACATTGGGACTGGGGCTGCTGCTGTGATTATAGGTAATAGAGTTTAGAACAGTTTGAAGTAGTTTGGGGAAGCAGGCTAGAAAAGGTATATCATATTGTAAGTGGATCTTAATGGGTGATTCTGGAAGAACCTCAAAAGATTAAAATGTTGTTCTAATGTAAAGACTATAGTGGAGAGGTTTCAAATCAAAGTGAAGAGAAGACTGCTTTGGGAACAGAACTAAAGGTCATTTATGCTACATTCTGGCAAAGAACTTGTCTACATTTTCCCCATATTTTGCAACTGTATGTGAGGGGAGACTTAAAAGTGTCGCACCAGTTAACCTTCTCCGCATCCAGGATGTGGCTTCAGGATTGCTGTTTGACCTCAACTAGACTTACAGTAAGACTCAGGAAGAAAAAAACAGAGCGGAAAGACTTGAGAAATCTGCTGAGTGACCAACAAAGAAAAGCCTTTAGAGTTAGTCTGATTGTTGCTCCTGGGGATACTCAAGAGATTAGCATCATTAAAAATAACCCAAGCACTTTGTAACTGGACAGTTGGAAAGACAAAGCCATGAGGTGATTTCATGAATCTGAAATCATGGGCTCAAAGGTGGGTAAATTGGGAGGTGCATCCCTGGGGGTTCTGTGGGGGTTCACATGCCTCAGATGGCAGATATGTAACTGTGGCATTCAGTGTTTGCCCTTCAGTTTCTCAGTCTTCTTCAGATCGATTCTGCCTTCCTGTTTTACAGTTCTTTGCATTTGGCATAGGAGTGTTTCCCACGTACACTTGCATGATGGATGTATACAACTTGTTCTTGAATTATAAAGTTCATATCTAAGAGTGAATCTCTGAAAACCCCTTGGAACTTTGGTTTTTGCTCACTGAGGAATTGGTAAGACACAGAGACTCAGAAAGCCAGACTAGAACATCCTGATGCCTTCTGCATCCTGAGATTGGCATGTGTCTTTGAGGCAAAGGGACGTCGTTATAATACAGATGTTAAATGTCCTACAAAAAAACTCATTCTTTGAGCATTGAGCACTTTCTCCCTAAAGAAGCAGTAATCTGAAGTGGACCTTTGGGAAGTCATTAGACCATGAAAGCATTCGCTAAAGGTTCTGAATTCACAGCTTCATGGGTTTAGGGAGAGGGGCTGCCTCATAAAAATGGGCTTTCTTTTTGTTTCCTTGATGCCACCTCTATTGTCATATTGCTCTGCCTCAATGTATGTCTCCCTAAGTGCTCATGAAGAATAAACTCTTCCTTTCCTTTTAGTTGGTCAGAGCGACTAAACCTGGCTCGACATTCCTGCCATCCTTTAATGTGTAAGATTCATAAAGAATACACACACACACACACACACGTATGTATGTATGTTTGTTTGTATGTATGTATCTATGTATACCAGTATATTTACAATCTGAAGTACACCATTCTGTTCCTGGGCCTCAAAGATTATGTCCATCTCACAATGCATTTCATATTTAATGTATATAAATAGATTGCTCATATTATTATTTAAAGCTTACCTATTTAAATAGTTCACTCAAGATATAAAGAAGAAGCTGGGCAGTGGTAACTCACGCCTTTAATCCCAGCACTTGGGAGGCAGAGGCAGGTGGATCTCTGTGAGTTCCAGGCCAGCCTGGTCTACTGAACAAGTTCCAGGACAGCCTCCAAAGCTACAGAGAAACCCTGTCTGGAAAAACAAACAAACAAAAGACATGAAACTCAGTGAGCAGAAAATGTCCTTGTGAAGTATGTCCCTGTATTTGCTGGCATAGAGTTCATGGTAGAAAAATATGCTATCACCACTTTTATATCAAAAACTAACTCTTGCAGCATGAACCCCAAATATAAACCAACCCTTGAGAAAATCATTCCATTAGTGTAGCAGTATGGTTTTATGAAGTATAGAAAATTTAAGGTTGACAAAAACATGGCAAAGGGGAGAGTTAGCTAAGGACAGAGCAGAGCACAAAACCATGTAGAAGAGAGGGGTCAATAGTGTGCTGAGGAGAGACTGTGTCCACCCAAAAGGGAAGTCTGGATAAGGCCAAATTAGCCTACTCAAAATAGATATCCTCCTCTTCCCATTTCCCTTTTTACCACAAGCTCTCGCAAGTGATGAGCAAAATATGGACACAGCGAAAATTTTAATTACAAGCCTTTTTTATGTGTGTATTTCTTATTTTTATATTTTTGTGGTTTTTATACATACAAATGCATTTGGAAAGTCAGTTGATAAATGAATACTGGCTTTCTTGTTAAAATGAAGGACCTGAAAGTCAGGCGTGGTGGCACTTGCTTGAAAGGTCAAGGTTATTGTAGGCTGAGGGCAAGGTAGAACTACAGAGCAGGGCTTGGGTTTTAGTATGTTTCTTTTGTGTTAAGCACCCTCTCAAAAATTACTGTTTTCTCAAAGGTTTCCTGAATCTAGGAATATTTCTAGAACCATACAATCAATTGTACAGAAGGTAATTAAAGTTCTAGTTATAGCTCAAATTTCAAGTCTTCGGGAGTTTGGGAATCTAGCTCCCTGGCCTAGCACACACAAAGCCCTGTATCTAATGCTCAGTGCCACCATGAAACCCCATGACAAACAAGGCACCAAAACAAAATCTTATGGAGGAGACACAGCGCATAGTGTCTGTTTCTTCATCAATAAACCAGAGATGATTTGACACAGTAACAAGAAAGTTTATGGATGTTATAGGGTCAAGTATTCTTTCTGTGATGTTCTTGTAGAATGAACTTGGGTATTCTCTGTGTGGCCAGCCACTGCTGTCCTTTGCTCTTTTCCCAAACACCAGCTGTCTGAATTTTGTTTTTCTCCGAGACAAGTTTCTCTGTGTAGCCCCAGTTGTCCTGGAACTCACTCTGTAGACCAGGCTGGCCTAGAACACAGAGATCTGCTTGCCTCTGACTTTGCTAGGGTTATAGGCGTGTACCACTGCCGCCCTGCTGCTATCTGAAAATGTTTGATTGTTCCAATGAACAAGATAGATCATGTGCAGGCATACAGTCACATGTTGCTTCATTGTAGGGCCTTGATTGTTGGGGTTTTATAACTGTAACTTGTTTATCTCCCGTATAATGTGAACAAGTTACATTCTGGTCTTTAACTAAGTTATAAATTTAAAAATATCTGGCTCGATTCCTTACTAATTAATAAAAGTTTGCAATTCCAAAAAACTCTCACTTAATTACCATCTTTGAAAAGTTTCTCTGGTGCCCTTTAGTGGCCTAAATGGTATTTGTTATACAGTTATTGATCCCATGCCAGTGTTTGAGACTACAAAAGAGCAAAAGAAAGCGGTGTTAATTATGAACATATTTAAGGTTTTGAAAACAATTTAATTGACAATTAAAATGTACTAAAACCTCGTTGTTCATTATATATTTCTAAGAGAAAACTCGATATACTGCCCGGAATCTGGGAATGGGAAGAGGAAAGATCAAAAAACGCAAAAAATATGGTGCAAAGAATTCTTGCTGCCACCTCGAAGTGGCAGCAGTCAAAACCCTCAGAAAATGATCCTTGGCACAAGATAACATCCAACAGCTATTTCTGATATCAACGTTAGAGAATGTAAAACCCCAGCAATCATTTGTTTGTCAATAGGAGACCAGTCAATTAAGTTCAAAGTCCAGAAATTGCAAAAGGAGAGGTGCAGGCTGGGACACTGTTGTAAAAGGGAGGAGGGCAACAGGGTTGACTTAACTTTCTTAGCAATGCTTAGGACTACGCTCATCCAGTTCCTTTGACACTTAGTGTCCTGTGGACAATGGTTCTCCATGCAAGGCAAGCTTTGATCCTGTCCCACCTTTACACTGTCCACTAGACCCAGGTTGCCGCCACTCTCTGAACTGTGGTGGACTTACTTAGGAGGCAGCAAGCAGCCTAGTGGAAAATCTACAAGCCGGGGCACGTAGGGAATGGAGAAGCCAGGAGGTATGGATTACTTACAGTTTGTCTCCGAGGTTGGCAACACCAGGGCAAGGCATGCTAGCAGCAGCCTACTGCGCGCGCTCAGGACCCTCATTGCTGAGCGGGCGGCCGCGGATCAAGGCAAGCAGGGACCGAGCCGGCGCTCCGCCCAGGGGAGCTGCGAGCCTGGGCTCAGCTCTCCCAGCTCTGTTGTGGCCCTGCCCGAGCGCGGGCGGAGCAGCCTGGGGCAGAGGGGACCGCCCGCTCCCAGCCCCCAGCCCGGGAGGGGAAGCGATGACTGGGACATTTCCTGGAAGCTTTTCTCAGATAGGGAGGGGGTGTGGAGGAGGAGGGCTCAAAGAGTGAGGTCGGAGGCCTCGGAAAGTTTATCAGAGGTCCTTTGTCACTGTCCCCAACCCTGCAATAACTTCTTTTCTTTAGAAATCGAAGTCTCTCTCTCTCTCTCTCTCTCTCTCTCTCTCTCTCTCTCTCTCTCTCTCTCTCTCTCTCTCTCTCTCTCTCTCTCTCTCTCTCTCTCTCTCTCTCTCTCTCTCTCTCTCTCTCTCTCTCTCTCCCCCATCCTTCTTTTTCCTCTCTCCTTCCCTTTCTTTCTCTTGATCTTCCTTTCTCCATTTTTCCCATTCTTTCTCTCCCTCCCCTTCTCTCCTTGTCCAGAGACTGTGCCAGCCAGGAGGGTGTCAAAATGACATCCTGAACTCAGAAGGAAATGTGAACTTTAGGGATAAGACTGGTCGGTACAGAAGTCATGGGAGGGAAAGACAATGGAACATTTTGATCACCTATGGCGTGTTTCCACCAATAGACTGTTGTCATATGGGTGTACTACCATTCAGTTTGGGTCATGCATAGGCCTGTGAATCAGGCTTTAGGTTGCTACAGGAAACTAAAATGCCTGGGCTCAAAGCACAGCACTTACTTGGTCTTAGTACCATTGTATAGCTGTAAGAAAAGAGCTTACCCTTTTCAGCCCCAGTCATATCACCTAATACAGAGAAAACGGGTTTTCATAGTGTTGATCTGAGACTTTCAATAGGTGTTATATGAAGCAATAAGGCCACGTCCAATAATAGTGTTCAGCGCATGCCTATTATTGCTCCTTTTCTGCCCAAATGAAACTTTGACTTAATTTCTTTTCTAAGTGTGTGAATGAAACTTACTAAGCAGAATCATATTTTAAGAATTATTACTAGATCTAGTTGTTCTTTTCTGTTTTTTTTCTTTCTCTCCTTTTTAATAATTTTGTCATCCAGCTGTATGAAAGATGACTAATATTGGAGTGGATTTCTCTGATAAAAGAGTGGTTTGGGGAATTTCCGTTCATGCAGTAGGGGGAAGGGAAACTCTTGTACTATACCAATCTATGTTCTGTTCCTTGTTTAAGAATTAAATTAATATATGATAGACTAACAGGAAAAAACAATATTTAGTCCCATTTCACAAAATTATGAAAGTCAAGGAGGTGGCCAGATGATTGAAACATATAACTTAAGCTGTGGAAAGCAAGTTCGAGGCTTCAGCAAAGGGGGTTGAGTGTGGGGAGAAAACAGCTCTAGAAAAGACAAAGAGTAGACATGTATGATCAAATAGGGTTTGCCTTATTGTCTTGGGGAAACAAAAGTCCTCTCTGGCACTTGCTCTCTCTAATATGATAGAAATTTTACTAATCAAAAAATTCATTTATAGGTGTAATTTCTGTTGCAGCTTGGATATTTTTGTAAAACTACTTTTAAAAATACTCCATTTAGCAGGGTGTTGGTGGTGCACGCCTTTGATCCCAGCACTCGGGAGGCAGAGGCAGGCAGATCTCTGAGTTCGAGGCCAGCCTGGTCTACAGAGTGAGTTCCAGGACAGCCTCCAAAACAATACAGAGAAACCCTGTCTTAAAAACCAAACAAACAAAATATTCCATGTAATGAGCATGATCGTTGCCCGTGCATGTGCACCAAGGGCCTGCAGAAGCCAGCAGAGGGCATCAGGTCCTCCTGGAACTGCAGTGCCAGATGGTTTTGAGATACTGGGAATCAAACGAGCAACAAGGGCTCACCACTAAGCCATCTCTCAGCCCCTAAGGCTCCAGTCTTACTTATCTTAGTTGTATCTCAAAGGCTCCTGTGTTAAAGGCTATGTCACCAGCCGATGGTGGTGGTGGTGATGGAAACATTAGGACTTGGGCCTAATGGGAGGTCATTTCTGGATGTGTCCCTCTCTCTCTTCATTCCTTACAGAAAAGTCACCAAGTAAGCAGTAACCACAAGATAGGCAGCCTTTTTCTTTCCTTTTCATTTCTTTTTTAAGATTTTTTAAAATTTAAATTAGAAACAAGCTTGTTTTACATGTCAATCCCAGTTTCCTCTCCTTCCCCTTCTCCCTTGCCCCTCACCAATTCCCTATCCCATCCCTTTCTGCTCCCCAGGAAGGGTGAGGCCTTCCATGGGGGATCTTCAAAGTCTGTCTCATCACTAGGAGCAGGAGATAGGCAGCCTTTTTTAGCCTCTTTCTTCCAGTACAAATATTACCATGATGCATTGTGGCATCACAAGCCACGGGCTATGTCATAGAACTTCTAAAACTGTGAGTTAGCGTATACATTGTCTCCATTTACATTGATCTTCGGGTATATTTTCTTCTTTTTGTTGTTGACAAGCCAGGGTACTCATACTTTCTTTGAGGCAGTTCATTAAGGAGCTGCTATTTCTGCTGGATTTTGATTTGCTATGGTTTAAAATGTCCCAGATGCCACCAACATTCACTGAAGACACCTGCAAACTTGTGTTGTGGCCATAGGTGAGCATTATCACCCACAGCTTCAGGACCCTCAGTTAACACTCATTCTGGGAGGGTGAAACCAAGGCCTCCAGACACTCAGTAGCCTATGTCTTTCCACGCCTTCTGTCATGACCCCTGTGTCTTTCCACAAGGTCCACTGGAACTTCAGGCCAACACTGCCTTGGCTGAGAAGGTGGTAGGGCCCTCCCATCCACATTTTCAAATAAAATTGTTTAACTGAAATATACATACATGTACATGTCAAAGCAGTACCTGTTGCTGTATCATATTCTAATCCTTTCAGGTTACTGGAATAAGAATTATCCAGTATGTATGTGGCCCCTCCCTTTCAAAACCCTTTCTCCTTGGTGGATACTCTGACTCCACCAGTTTTATGTATTTACCACCTTATTCTCATCCCCAGGTGGTTCAAACATAAATATAAATCTAATCTCTTAGAACCGTCTGGATTATAGCAAAAGAAGCTTTAAGTACTATATTTAATCTTTAGTATGGAAATGCAGGTGTGTCACGGGTCTTCTGTGGAGAGCTCCATTTGGAAGTCTCTTGCTTATGTGAGGATGGTCGTAAAGGGCATTGTCAACTTTGAGATCTCGAAATTTCTCTCGGAGGGAAAAGTGCCTAAGTTAAGCGTCAACAGCATTTCATAAAGTGTCATCTCCAAGTCAGACAACAACAGAGAGAGCCAGAGACGTGAATGTTAAAAAAAACAGAAGCATTTCAAGGAAATTGAAAAAGAAAAACAAAAAAACTTTCTCCAGTTTCATTGCTTGAAAGGGACTGACTTTTTAGTTTCAGAAATGCTTTGCAGTATCAGTAAATGTGGAACAACTGGCCCCTTCACTGTAATGCCAAACTTGAAATGCTAAATAAGCTTCTTCAGGCACAGAAAGGACACTTGTGTTTTCTCAGAAAGTATGATTTTAAAAGGAAAGCAGATAGGGTCAGCTCTTAGAAAACATAGGAAGACAAAGAATTGTTCTGAAGAGAAGAGAAACAGGAAAGTATACAGCTGTGACAGCACAAGACAAGACGGGAAAGAGTTTTAAAACCATTTGCTGCATTAAGTGTGTTGAGATGCAACACTTCCTGCAATCTCTTCTGTGGCATCAGGGCTCTCCTCCAGTAAAGCCCAAGATTGTCAAAAAGAGGACCAAAAATTTCATCCAGTGCTCTTCAGGGTGACTATGCCAAAATTAAGCTCAACTGGTTGGAACCCAGAGGTCTCCACACCGGGGTATGGAGAAGATTCAAGGGCCGAATCCTGGTGCCCAGCATCAGTAACAGGAGCGACAAGAAAAAGAGCCCAGCATCCTCTTGAACTTCCTGGTTGGTTCACAAGGTCAAGGAACAGGAAGCACTGATATGCAACAAATCTCACTGTGTTGAGATCTGTCACAACATTTCTTCCAAGAACTGAAAACTCATCCTTGAAAGAGCAGTACAGGTGAACATTAGAGTCGTCAAGCCCAATGCCAGGTTACAAAACAAAGAAAATGAATACATGACTCCTGTGCGTTCTTTATTTGTGTTTAAAAAAACATCAAAGGGAGAAGGTGAGGGAGAGGGTGAGTGAGAGAATGAGGGTAGGTGGGATGGAGGGAGGAAGAGGGTAAGACAGACAGGTGGAGATAAAAAGAAGAGAGAAGAATTAGGAATTTACTGCCATTTGTCTCACAAGCATTTGTGTTAGACCACAGCTACCTATCTCTTTATCCAGGGAGTGGGGTGGAAGTTGGGGGAAGGATAAGAAAAGGATCCCCCTTCACCATAAGTTAATGTGGGGCTGCAGAGATGGCTCAGAGGTTAAGAGCACTGACTGCTCTTCCAGGGGTCCTGAGTCCAATTCCAAGCAACCACATGGTGGCTCACAACCATCTACAATTCAATCTGGTGCCCTCTTCCAGCATGTAGGCAGAACACTGTATATGTAATAAATAAATAGATTGTTGCTTAAAAAACAATAAGCAAATGTATGATTGTAACATACTTATTGAGAATGGCATTGAGTTGTGTCTCATCATCTCAGTAACTCTGTGAACTGGTGGTTTTTCCATCCCATTTTACAGAAGGGCTACAGAGGTTCAGAGTCAGTGAGATCATTAATTAGAAAAGAACTATGCTAAAATACTAATCTATCTTAGTCCTACACTATCATTTTCCATTACATACTGTAAAACCCCTGTGTTTTCTTTACTTTTATGATTTGAAATGTCCTTATTGTCTGTCTGTCTGTCTGTCTGTCTATTTGTCTATCTGTCATCTATCTTTCAGAAGCTGAACAGATTAACATGTTATTGGATGCATTTTCAGAAAGGTATTTGCTATTTTCTCAATAAATATGTTAGAAATATATATTAAATACCTCTTTTAAAATAAAGCGTTGCAAAAGAGCCAGCATATTCACAATCTCAAAATTCAAAAATCAAATGGTCATGATTTTAGATAGCTAAAAAGTTCCCAAAATACATTAAATTATCATGACTCCTTATCTTTAAGTGGCTAGTGCACAATGTTTTCATCCTGTTCCTTCTCTGTTTGCACATTCTACAACAAGGACATGTTGCTCTTGTTAATTGTAACCCCTTCTTACAAGAAATGTAATCCCTGGTTCACATTTTTTTTTTACACAGCAGCGATAAACATCAGATTAAAACAGCATTCCCATTTGAACTGTTGAGACAACTTAGCAAATGAGTTTTCCCCGTGTGTCTTTGATTTATAATTGCCTCAGTGTATTGCTCCTGAGTTCTTCAGCTTGAGTTGCTCTGAGCCCCAGAGGATCACCATCCCTACAGCACAACAAAACAGAACAAAACAAACAAAACACGCAGAGGATCAGAGATCGCTGGATCTTATTTGAGTTACCGGAGAAGAATGAGAAACAAAAAAAGTTGGCAGGCAATGGATTTCTATTGGGTGTAATCAGGGCTTGTGTGAGATCTCTCCAGGAACCCTGGGTTTATCTATGGACGCTCTGGTTGCCTAGTAACCAGAGCCCTCTTCCGTGAGCTCCTCCTCCTTCCTCTAGACCACGCCCACTTCCTCTTTCCGCCCTCTGACAGGGGGCGGGGAGCAAGGAAGTCTTCAGCCGCTTAGAAGGCCGGAACGTAAGTCGTCAGCCTCTGATTGGAGCAGCGCGTTGTAGGCGGTTCCGAGGGCCGGCCTTCCGAGCTGCGGGAACGTCAGCACGTCGACGCGGGGGTTTTCTCCGGAGTCCCGCTAACGCCGCTCCGGTGTTCCTGAGCCTGCGTTCGGGAGGTCCTGGGGCGGCGGGCCGGCGCGGTTAGGGGCGGGACCCGGGGTCGGTCCGGTCGCAGCCCTCCCGGCCTGTCCTCCCGGCAGGTCTGCCCTAGGGGAGCCTGAGGACGTGGGGCCCCCCGAAGCGGGCCGCGGAGCCCGGGGCCCTTCCCCGCCCGCGGCTCGGATGGGAGGTGGCGGGAGAGACCTGGGATGTTCAGTCTGATGGCCAACTGCTGCAACTTGTTCAAGCGGTGGCGAGAGCCTGTCAGGTAGGCTGGGGCGCTGCCCGGAGGGATGGGGACGACCGCGCCCCTGGGCCGGCCCTGGCGTCGCCTCTTCCCTAGGCTTGGGAGGAGTCGGCCAGGTCTGGGGGAATGCCACCCTTTCCCATGGACCATTACAGAAACGGCAGCCTGGACAGGTGCCCCCTGTCTTGTCTGTTTGACTAAAGATGCGCTCTCCAGCCTCTACGTATATTTTAAAACTATTTTACACTTCTTAGAAAGATGCGTGTCTGTGTGGAGACAGAAGGAGGGAGAGAATTGCCTACTGTGGCTGTCTTCAAAACCTTTTGTAATGGAAAAGTTTTTAAAGAGAGTTATGAAGTACATTTTCCCCTAATAAACACATCCCGTTTTTCCTCTTTCCCATCTCATCTCTTTGGCACACATCTGAAAACAAGCACACACTATTTTGTTTGGCTATTTGGTCCTACTACTTACTAATTACGTGATTCAACCACATTTGGCCCATCTTCCTTATTTATTAAATGAGATGATGACATCTGTGCCTAAGAAGTGTTGGATTCAATTAGAGTGGGAGAAGGGTAGTGTTTTCTTTGCTGTAATTTAGCTTCTGTTTTCATGTATACTCTATGATAACCTAATTGAAAGGTCTCTTGCTTCATGATTCATTTTGCAGTAGTACATGTGTTAACGTTCAGTGGGTGTTCCTTGCTGGTTCATCCAATGTGTCAAGAAAGTGGCTTGTACCAGGCACCCTGTTAGGATGGAGTCGGTTAAGCTAATGGTTCTGAAACCTAGAAGCCCGAACTACACAGTGTGTTTCTCTGTATAACTATTGACTTTTTACAGTTCTGCTTTGGAATTAGACCACAAGAAAAATTTAGCAAAGTGTTGTTCTTTTTTTAATTCCTAAATCCACAGATATATATTTGTCATAAAGATGAGTAGCAGATCATTAAAGAATGCACTTGAAAAGCAACACTTTGCATATTTCTAGGACAACACGTGTCTGTATTTGGAAAAGAAATTTGTTTTAAACAAAACAAAACTTTTGTCATTCTTTCCCCCTCATTGACTCTGGGTTTGAATGTTTTGACTGTAAGTTATAGGATCACCTCTCAGAACCGAAGGTGTGCTCTGTGCGATTGACTTTAATCCTACTCCGGTTGATTTCAGAGCTCCTGCCCAGACTAGAAAGTGGGCACATATGCCCCTTCATGCTTGCCTCTGCTTACTTTTAAAGAGTGAACTTTTTAGGAGAGTATTAGAGTGTGAATATAATCAGCGTTTTGCTTTTATGATCTACACTAACTGATAAAATGCTTCCACTATACTTAGGTTTTCTGTTCATTTTTAAAGATTTAGATATGCTGCCTGATGTTGAGATTCTCTGTTTTCTACAAATATATTTGCAACTGTGAGGGGAGGATGTAATGATTATTAATGTTCAGAAAATGCTCGGAGGTTATGTTGGCTTGTCTAGTAGATTCAGAACTCTTCACATGGAAGATCCTTCATCAGGCTCTCTGATTCGTTTGTCTAATGGTAACCCATTGAGTATATTAGATTTGTTTGCTATGTGCCAGGCAGGAGGCATTAAGGCACCAGTCTGGGTTAGTAATGAGGACCAGGAATGCAGCCAGTTTTCAAACCATACTTGCCATACAAGTCAGAACATGAACTAGGCTTTCAAGCCGTGGAAATCAATCTTGAATTGACTATAGTGCTAGCCCCACAGACAAGTGATCTGCCCCAATAGAAGCCATATAGGACAATGCTAGATTTTTTTAAAATTTCCATTTTTAGATATAGTACAATGCTGAAAACTAAAAAAAATTAGTATAATACTGTGAACTAAAATGTGTATTGTATTAGAAGCTCACCTGCTTGTAATGAGTTTTTTTGTTTTGTTTTGTTTTTTTTGTTTTTCGAGACAGGGTTTCTCTGTGGCTTTGGAGGCTGTCCTGGAACTACCTCTTGTAGACCATTGTAATGATTTCTAATTTGGGGTGTGTATGTGCACATGCGAGTGTGTGTGACTAGAGTCCCACACTATATATGCTGTGATTCTCCTTTTCAGTCTGTAAGAGTTGCTGTCTCTGAGGCCACTTTGCACAGTACTGCTTAGGGATTTTAAGGTTGAGGGTATAGTTGTTGGCAGAATACTCCTCAATTTTCTTTTTTAGGGGACAGGTGAGACAGGGTTTCCCTGTGGCTTTGGAGACTGTCCTGGAACTAGCTCTTGTAGACTAGGCTGGTCTTGAACTCAGAGATTCGCCTGCCTCTTCCTCCCTAGTGCTGGGATTAAAGACGTGCGCCACCAAACACAGCCTCATTTTTCTTTTTAATCCCTTGTAATTTGAGTACGGTGGTGCATATGGAGGAAGAATGGTACAGAGACAGTATGTCATTCATCATAGGCATGTGCTCTACAGTAGACATCACAGTAATCATATCAAGGAGTGTGTAGCGCCAGTGTGTTTTATTGAGGGGAGGTTAACCTTGACCACTTGGGTAACATGTTGTGTTGTCCTTCAGGTTTCTTAGTATAGTGCTTGAGTTTAGTAGATTGGAAGCAGAATCTTAGAAATCTTAGCATTTTCCCAAGTCCAAGTAGTTGGTTCTTTCTATCTCATAGCCTTTTAAGAAAGAAAACCTGTGCAAGTATTTGAAGCATGGCTGCTGAAATTACTTTTCTCATTGCTGCCACCAAAACCTGCGGGAGCAAAGTATGACAAAAAGGATTTATGTGGATCTAAGTTTTAAGAAAACACTGTCCATTGCATCAGGAAGGCAATCAAAGTTGATGGTGGGCATCTGCACCCGGAACTCAGTAGTCTGTAAATGGTGAAGTTCAGCTGCTTTTCTCTTTTACCTTTTTAGTCTGCAGGGCTCCATTCATACTCAGGGTGGGGCTTCTCTCTTCTGTTAAATCTCCTTGGACACCCTCACAGACACTCCCAATGGTGTGTCTCCTAGGTGATTCCAAATCCAGTCCAGCAGACAATGAAGAATTACCATCACAATAGCATCGAACTTTCACTCAGCAAACTACCTGCCTCCAACCCTGAGTGATATACATTGTGTAGGAATTTATCCTCTTCCGTTGAAAGCTTGTGTTTATCAGGATATAGCTTTGCCTTTTCTTCCTATTTTCCTGAAAGAAATTTGCCTTTCCAAGGTTAATTCTTAGGTCTGTCTTGGGCCTGTGCTCTGTATTCCATTTCCTTGATTTAGTTGTTCTACATTCAAACAATTCTTACTTAGAATCAGTATATTTTATATATACTACAGAAGGGGCTTGTGGGATATAAGAATAAACTTGTGTTGTTTTTACTATGAAAACCAGAAGTCATTTCACCAGTATTTCATGTTAGCCGATTTATATTGTTTTTCTCTTACCAAAATCAGAAGTGAAGAGTAAGCCTGAATGCTGAATTATGTTTTGTTCTCCTACATCACTAGGTCCTGGTGGGCTCCCTGTTTAATAGAATAATTCTCACATTTTTGTAAGCGGCTTTCAGAGACCCCTAGTGATGCCTAAAACTGAGCAATAACAAGCCCTGTATAAGCTAGATCTATACTTATACTATACTATATTATACTATACTATGCTCACACACACCCCAACGGTAAGCTTTGACTTGTAGATTTGGCACAGTAAGACTTTTAACAGTTATAACTAATAATAAAATTGATTATAGCAATGTACCGTAATAATATGACCAGTATGGATGCCCCCAGTTGGGAGCTTCTGTTAAGTAACATGCGGGTAACTTGAACAAAACCAGTCAGGTAGCTGAAAAGGTTGCCAGATAAGTAATGGATAGATAGCATATACAACATGGCTATGCTGAATAAATGCATGATGTAATTCACATGAGTCGCACCCAGGTATGGCAGAGGAGGTGATACTTTCACTGTACTAGTGGGACCCACAGTAGAGAAGTTAGGGCTCCATTGCAGAACTTTGTGTAACTTCAGAGCACAGTTAGTCATATTCTGCAGTTTGATTGAATGCCCACAGTGATCTACATGTTAAAGGCTTCTTCCCTAACATAGGATTGGGAGGTAGTCAAATTCTAGAGATGGAGCCTAGTGGAAGGAGATTAGGTCACTAGGGATGTGACTTCAAAGGAAGTTGTTGGACCCAAGCCCCTCTCCTTTTTCTGCTCTCATAGCTTATATTTAAGAGATTGACTCTGCATGTGCTCCCACATAATGTGTTGCCTTTCAATAATAAGGACTTAGAGGTTGCTTTTACTTCAAGGTACTGACTATTTGGGGCTGCAAGTACCCTGGGTAAGTAGAAGTGGGAGAAAAGTATGGTGTCTCAGTGTTTTAGTTAGGGTTTCCATTGCTGTGATAAAACACCATAACCAAAGAGCAAAGTTGGGGAGAAAGGGTTTATTGAGCTTACACTTCAGGATTGTTGTTCATCACTGAAGGAAGTCAGGACAGAACTCAAAACAGGGCAGGATGCTGGAAGCAGGAGGGAATGCAGAGGCCATGGAGGGGAGTTGCTTACTGGTTTGTTTCCCCTGGCCCACTCAGCCCACCTTCTTATAGAATGCAGGACCACCTGCTCAGGGATGGCACCACCTACCCTGCATGAGCTAAGCCCTCCCTCAATGGTCAGTAAATGAGAAAATGCCTTACAGCTGGATCTCATTGAGATGTTTCCACAACTGAGGCTCCTTCCTCTCTGATGGACTCTAGCTTGTTTCAGGTTGACACACAAAATCAGCCAGTACACTCTGCCTTCATTTTGTGTTTGTCAGAGTTCATACTTTACGACTGTAGGCTGCTGCTCCTCAGGGCAGGAAAGAGACGGGCGGGTTCAAAAGAAGAGATGCATGCGATTTTATTGGTATCTAAAGACATTTACATACCTTATGCTTTCGTAGATCCCAGTGTCAAGAAATGCCCACTTAAAATCAGAAAAGTAAGACTAATTCAACTGAAAGCATCATGAAAACTAAGTTATATAAAATAACAACTGTTATTTTAAATTAGAAAGTAGG